GAGCTCTCTTGGCCAATTTTGGAGCCATTGGGCGGTTTCGAAAGTCCACCGGAAACGAGAAGGCGAAAAGGCAGCAGCCACTGATGTGTCAAACCAGTCGGCGCTCCAGCCGTCCATGTAAAATGCCAATGCGAAATGATCACGGGGCGGCCGCGCATGCTCCAAATGTGGAGGCAGAGTGTGTTTTGTATTGCATTTGTGACAGGGATGGTGGGTGAGGTGGCCCTCATGGGGTTATGGTTCGGGGCTGGCTGCTGGCCGGGTGGGGGAGGGTGCCTATGAAAATAGGGACAGTGATCAAGACACCCTCCATATAGCAGCCGTCTAGCTCACTCCCACCCGCCCTCCCAACACATACGTAGCAACCGAGCCTCAGCTTGTTCAGCGGTCGTCTTTGGATGGGCAGCTACTGGGAACCAAAGCCCAGCCCATGTGCGCGACGCTGGGGCGAGGTGCGCCACACGTACCAGGCGCGCCACGCGCGCCAGGCACCCTTGGGACCCGAGCGTGCCAGGCACGCCTGGTGCGCCAGATGCGCCACGTGCCTCTGCGTGCGCCAGGTGTGCCGTATACTCCACCCGCGCCAGGTGCGCCACGTTCAGTGTGTCAGGTGCGCCTGCGCACGTGACAGCACACATCGGGAAACATGTCGGCCCCCACCATCCTTGTCGAAAACCCATACCCATCATTGTGTCTGGTGGACCTGCGCAAAGCAGGCCGTACGCCACCACACCCGCCGTCCCTGTCAACAACTACTTAGCAATGATGGCGGGGTGGCCGCGCATGGCCCAGATTTAGCCGCGAGGTGCATTTTGTATTGTGCCGTGTCAGGGATGGTAGCCCTGCGCGCAGCAGGCAATATGCTGACACCCCGCCGCCACTGTCAAATAACGATACAAAGTGCTCGAGGGCCTCACGATACTGACCTCGTCGATAGAGATGGTGGGGGAGCGTCGTATCGGGCCGGTTGTACATGCTTTGAATTTTGAGGCAGAGTGAGTGTTGTATTGTTTTGTAGTCAGGGATGGTGGAGGGGTGAGCGTGGTTCCTGGTTGGCTGCCGGTCGCCTGGGGGAGGGGGTGTAGATTAGTAGGAAGCACAGATCAACCCTTCCCCTGAGCAGGAGAAGGAGTGGTTGCCAGAGAGAGAGAGAGAGAGAGAGACAACAAAAAGAAAGAAAGAAAACACGACATCCGTCAAATCCCCTACGCCCAGAGGGCTGGTGGGATTCGGCTGCGAGAGCTTCGGGGCGCCTGCCCCTCCTGCTTGGGCTCGCTCGGCCAACGCATGTACCCCCCAGCGATACCCCCCCTTGCCATGCTCCCCCCCCCTCCCCCCTCCGCAGCGCCGCGTGGGGGGCCTCCCCCCATCTCCCCCCCTCCCCTCCTTCCCCTTCCCTCTCCCCTCTGCCCCCCCCCCCCCCCCCTCTAAACTCTCCCCTCTACCCCTCCCCCCCCCCCCCCCTCTGACCCTCCCCTCCCCTCCACCTTTCTCCCTCCCCCCCCCCCTCATTCCCTCCCCCCCCTCCCCCCCCCCCCCCCCCCCCCTCCTGCCCCCTCCACCCCCTCATCGCCCCCTTCCGCCGGCGCCGCGGACGGCGCGGGCGGCGCCGCGGACGCTCCGCGCCCCCGACCCTCCTCTGGGCCAGGGGGTCCCCCCCTCGGCGCCCTGCCCGCCCCCCCTCCCCTCGAGGCCGGGCCCCCCCTCTCGGCGCCCCAGGGCCTCGCGGGCGGCGGGGCGCTCGGGCCACCGCGCCCACCGCGCGCCTCCTCGGGCGCGCGTGGTGCGCGGGCAAGTTCTGCGAAGGGCGACCGCCCTTCCCTTCAGCGCTCGTCCACGTCGTCGTCGTCCTCCTCCTCCTCCTCCTCCTCCTCCTCCTCCACCTCGTCCTCCTCTTCCTCCTCCTCCTCCTCCTCGACCTCGTCCTCCCTCTTCCTCCTCCTCACTCCTCCTCCTCCTCCCCCTCCTCTAAACCTTCGCCTCTTCCTCCCCTCAGTCATACCCGTATCCCCCCTCCTCTCCTCAGTCCCTCCTCCTGCCCCGCTAGTGCTTGTCCCTACCCCGTGCTCCCACCGCCCCCGGGCCCTCGTCCTGCTCCAAAGAGAGGACGCGGATACTCGGACTCTGGCCGACACCCCGCCGTCCCAGCCAACAACCAATGTGCGCTGATCGCGGGGTGCCCGCGCATGCACCAATGTTTGCCTCAAAGTGCATGTTGAACCATTTTCTGACATGGGTGCTGGCCCTACGCGCAGCAGACAATATGCGGGCACCCCCGCCGCACCTGTCAAAGAAAAAAAACACAAAGCGCTGGCGCCCCCCCCCCCGAACAGGACCTAAGATTTTGTCCCAAAGTGGAAATGGCATTATTTCTGTAACAGGGATGGTGGGGGAGTGTCGTCATTGGTCCTGGCTGACTGCCGGTCGCCTTGGGGAGCGGGTGCTTACTCATTTTTGCCTGGGACATCCTGCCTCTTCAACACTCACAGAGCGAAGGAGGCGCGGCACC